TCGTCATCGTCGGTCATGGCAGAAATGGCTTTCTTCCGAAGGGGCCGTGGGACGGGTATCTTCAAGTGTCGTCGTGAGCATCGGTCGGCCTCGGCCAAGTGACGGTGCAGCACCGCTTCTGCCTTGAACTCGCGCACTTGCGCGTGGTACCGCTTGAGCTCAGCCTTGATCTGGCGCACCGACGCGACGACAGCCATGGTGCTATTTACTAGTATTACCCAATGCAATGATTGTTCTCGTCTCTGTACTAGTGGATCAATGACTAGCAATATTCCATGAACCATCACGAAAGTGCAGCCGAGTGCAGCCTTCCAGTCGGGTGTACCACGCGGCTCTGACATGCGTCGTGGACTCCCAATGCTTAATGTTTGACTACCCTAGCGATGAGATTGACGATATTATCGTGCGACATGCCCCATTTAACAAATGCAGTGTCGAATTGTATTAGGCGTCGAGGACGTTGTGCAGCTGCTCGATGAAGCCTTGGATGTCGTCGAGCTGGATCTCCATGACGGTCGTGTCAAAGCCGTCGTGCGTGTACTTGGCACCTGTCTCGGCGGCCGCCATCTTGAACGCCGTGCCGAGTTTGCTACACAAGAAAATCATTTTTCAATATGTCCAAAACTTGCAGCGTCCCGTACTTGCAATGGATCTCGCCCGCGCGCTCGGGGCACGTGACCCCGACGATCAAGTACACGTTGCGGGCCTTGAGGTGGCAGAGCAGCACGAACGGCGACGCCTGCTTGCCCGTCCACTTGCCTTGCTCGCGATGCACGTCAACGAGGAAGAGCGCGAGCTTGGAGAGCGTCGACGGGTGCGAGAACATGGCTTCGTCGTCCTCGCTGAGCCGGAGGCAGACGTAGCGAAAGTGCTTGATGCGCACGATGAGCTTGCGGTCAAGGATCGAGATGCCCATGGACACGATCGCCTTTTGCATGGTCATGGCCAGCTTGATACCTTGCTCTAACAGCGTACAGCTGCGCTTGCTCTTGCTACAAGAGAGTTCGTTTGAGCATGGGCAAGAACACGACGCTAAAATGCAAGAGACCAGGGCAGAGCTTGCGACGCAATGTGAAAGCTGTGCTGCCAAAACGGCACCGACTCGTCCATCGCGAGAACGTCAGGCACCTTGTGCTCGACGGTCTTTTGGATGAGGTACGGCGGCGCCTCGAGGAGCGCCGAGAGGCCATGCACAATGTCGGCCGCGCACCACTGGTACTTGAATTCTACATGAAATCACACGGTGAAATGCAGAGACACGATTTCAACCATACCAAATTGACGCCGGAACGAGCCGTAGAGAATCTCGTCGAGTTCAAACTCGGGCGCAATCTCCTGGAGCTTCTCGCGCAGCTTTTGCTTGAGCTCCATGGACATGAACGTGTAGCTACATTGCAAGCATGTATCGATGAATGCACTGTCGCTGGACGCCAATGGCCGACCTTTGCTGGCACTCTTTGAGGGAGAGGCCCATGCGTGCGAGGAACACTTCAAGCTCGTCTTTTCCGGACGGCTGCCACGTCTTGAGCTTGGCCGCGACATAGTTGGAGTAGAACATGCTCTTGTACAACGACCAGTGTCGATAGAGGAGGAAGCGGTATTCTTCCTCGAACGCAATCGTGCCGCCGTGCACTAGATATATCCATCGCCCCATGAGATCTGATATATCCATCGCAGGTCGACGCATCGGACCGGTCGGGAGGGCGGTGCCGTCGACGTCGGTGACGTCATCGACTGCTTGGTTGAGCGAGAGCACTTCGTCCTGGAACTTTTGAACCAGCATGTTGTAGTTGTGCGCGTCGATTTGCTGCGCCACAAACTGCTTGGTGAGACCGACAATGGCAAACCAGACTTTATCGGGTGTCGACTGGTTCACTTGCGACGCGAGCTCGTACAAGAGCGTCGACGCCGGCGCGCCGTAGTACGACCCGCGGTAGTATTGAAGAATCTCGATCCGGCGTTGGCTACAAAGCATGATGAGATCGAGGGATTGGAGATATTAGATGGACTGTACTGCTTGGACGCGCCACGGCCCGGTCGAGGCGCAGGTACCTTCTCAACGTCGGGCTCGTCTTCTTCCGTCTCGAGACCGGACGCGATATCGTCCATATCGTCGTCATCGTCGTCCTTGTCGGCGCTGTCGCCAAGGCTGCCGTCGTCGACGTCGTCCTTGGTCGTCATGGAGGACGAGATGGCGTCGGGAGCACTGGCACTGGATTCACCGACGGGAACGACATGGACTTCGGCTTCGCCATCGAGCGAGTCGTCCGAGCCACTGCGCTTGCGCTTCTTCGTGGCGTCCTGCACAAGTCCGTCGGCGACTTCGGCCTCGCCATCGCTGTCCGAGTCGGACGCTGCCTCGTCTTCCTCTTCGTCGTCATCGTCATCTTGTTCGATGGCTTCAATGTCAGGACCATCTTCGGGAAAGTCGTCTTCGGCCTGCGCTTCGTCGTCAAAGAGGAACACCGTGCCATGACGGTCGTAGACGTTGGCCAAGTGGAGCGGGCGATGGCTGTCGATGACGTAGACCTTGATGTTGCGGCCGCCGAGCTGCATCGTCGAGTAGACGTCGATCATGGCGCCGCAGTTGATGAGGAAGACCGACCGGATGTCGGCGGCAAAGGCCATGGCCGCGAGCTGCGCGTTGCCGGCCACGGGCACGAGCGAGTAGGCGATCATGTCGGCCTGCAGCACCGAGGTGAGGATGGCGGAAGCGGCGATCGAGTCTGCATCGAGGGCGACGAGGAGGAGGACGCTGGCCGCGTTCGAGTCGAGCGCGTCCGAGACGACCTGCTTGTACGCGACGCGGAACTGCTCTCGTGGCCACAGCATGACGGCAACTGGCGCC